GGGGGGGGTTGATTTTTAGCAGGGAAGGGTTAGGGCATATGTCAGTTTTTGTTGTTGCTATGTTTACAAATAGGAGATTTTCCAATAGGAGATTTCCCCTAACTTGAAGGAGAATGGAGTTCTCCCAATGGCAATGCTGCCCCAATAACCACTTCTAAGGGTGGGGATTTGTGTGCCCATTAGAGATATTTTCTTCAATGCCTTTTTTGCAGCAATGGAACACCTTAGTGGGGATTAAGACACCAATAAATATCTGACAGAGAAACTAACCCTTACCCTTTCTATCCCCCCAAAAAAAGAAGAGTATAGTCCCCATAATGAAGTATGTATACTTAAAGGAGAATTATGAGGCCAGTGATTTTCACTCGGCCTCATAATCTGAGCTGACCTGTGGCAATTAAACTGTCACAGGTCGGCTCAGTAGATCGGGAAGTGAGCGAACACATACCGTCGCTCGCTCACTTCTCGATCTATCCCTGCAGAGACCCGTGACTGTCACTCACGACTCTCTGCAGGGATTCCCCCCCTCCCCTGTCCGATCCTCCAGCGCTGACTGGCGGAACTGACGGGGGAGGGGCAGGCACAGCTGGCTCTGCCTCTGGATAGGCAGAGCCAGCTGTCAATCCGGCAGCTGGGTGGATCTCGACATCGATGTCGGGATCCGTTCCGGCTGCGGCGTCTCAGTATGCTCGCGGTATACTGAGCTTTGGGTCACGGGAGAACGCTAGTTTGTGTTCTCCCGTGACCCTTAGGAGAAATATGGGGAAAAGCCCTAACCCCATAGTTCTCCTTTAACATACTAACAGTACTGACACCAAACTGAGGAGTTAAATCTTAAAGATGCAATCAAGTACCTTTTTAACTAGTAACAAAAATGTACCTTATTTGTGTATCACTCAGCTGTAGATCTGCAAATCATCTCCGAATTGGTGCTGACACTGTCCTTCCTTCAGGAGGGTGATTACTTTTGTTCCCCATGGTCCCTGTGTGTGTTGTAAAGTAGTTACCACTTCAAGCTCACTCCTGGGATGGACTACAATCTCCCGTTTAGTTTACTAATTTGTATTGAGATTGTAGTCCATCACGGGAGCAAGCTTGGAGCGGTGGCTACTTTACAACACACACAGGGACCATGGGGAACAAAAGTAGCCACCCTCCAGAAGGAAGGACAGTGTCGGCAGCAATTAAGAGATGATTTGAGGATCTACAGCCGAGTGATACACAAATAAGATACATTTTTGTTAATAGTTCAGGTCAATAGTTGAATGTATTTTTAAGATTTAATTCACATTGTTTGAGTTTAAGCATCTTGTATATGTTCTCCCTAGACTACAAGGAAATAATCTAAAATAAATATTAAGTCCTTGCTCTTTGGATCAGTAAGAGGATTTTATCCTCCTGTGGTACCTGGTCTATAATTGTGAAGGAGTGACCCCTTGTGGTTGAAGATATGCACAGTAGAACACAAACCCCTCCACAAATATTCATTTTGTTCTATTTCCAGGTATTAGCAGACAACATGCATTCTGAAGTAAAACCTTTTGCTACTGTTATGAAATTACACCTTTTGAGTAGGATAGAACACATTCTGCAGCACTGTGAGGTTGATTTACTGAGGCAAATAGGCTGTTTACTTTTTCCCTTAGCTTAGTGAATGCGTTGAAAATTCACTTTGCAAACAATACCCAATCACATGCAAGGAAAATAAATAATAATAATAATAAAAAAAAAACCTGTATTTCTGCTACACATAATTGGATGATGGAAGTCAGCAGAGAGTTCCCTTATTCACCAAGGGCAGGTTCACACAATTTTCCGGACCAGATCTGGTCCGGAAAATGGTTTGAACTTGCTTGTAGTTCCAGTGCATTCCAGGGCAGACAAAATGAGACATGCGGTATTTTCTGGTCTGGAACCGACTGTGCTGGTGTGAACAGAGGCCAGAAATAGCATAGGGATGCATTAGGATGCATTTTGGATCCGGAAACAATCTAGTCTGGAGTTGATGTGGTGTGAATGGGCCCTAAAGCAGAATTCCATTGCAGAATATACAGCCTATGTTATCTTAAGTAATTCAACCCCTTTTAAGTGTTGTTGCTATGTATATTAAGGTATTGCCTGTAGGTCAGTTGAATATTTTTTTCAGCCTTCAGCCGTCTAAATCCTTCAGCCGTCTAAATA